GGTCCCTGGTTGTGTGCGAATTGATAAATTTAAGCTCTTTCTTCTGTGCCCAGAATTTTTTTTTTTCTTAAAAGTTTTTTAATTGACCAATAGTTATGCTTATTGATTGATTGATTTTTTGAATTTTTGAATTTTCTGTGCAGGTGGTTGTTGGGGCTTCCTGCTTCCAATGCTGAGCAGAAGAAGTTTGAGAATCCTGAGCTTTTAGAAAACAAGGCGTTGCCCGAATCGTTTCTTAGGGAAGACGATGTGAGTTTATTTCTCTTGTCGATATATACGTGCTTTTACTGCGTTTGAAAGAAGAGTGCATACAATGTGTGCATTCATAGGCATAGATGTAGTGTCCAGTAGCAAATTATAACTCCGGAATATGAATAGTTTGTGTTTTCACCAATTCGGGAATCTAGAGGTGTGGCCTCGTCACGACATTTTAAGATTAAATGGCAGTGCCATTCTTATGGGTTCTTCTTATTTAATGTTGATTACAACATAGATAATCGGATTGCCGTTTGGGAGTGCATGTTAAGTAGACAAACGCTGGATATCAATGCATTGTAAATGGCAGTGCCATTCTTATAGGTTCTTCTTATGTAATGTAGATTACAACATAGATAATCGTATTGCCATGTGGGAGTGCGTGTTAAGTAGACAAACACTGGATACCAATGCATTGTTTTTCAATTTTATGGAGAGTGGATAAGCAAACTCTAGCAGTCACCTATGACACTATGCATACAGAGGTTTTATGCCTTATCTTCTTTATTTTTAACTGCTCTTATAAAAGCTGGAGCTTCTTATTCAGAAGCAAAAAGATTGGCAGTGACTTTTAGATCCTCCTGCTGTAAACGTGCACCATCAGCATAATAAAAGTGCTTATTGCTGTTATACAGAATTTAATATGCATCAGTATTAACCTTTTAGTCTTCCAAAATGCATGCTTAATATGATCATCTTTCTTCTTGTACCAGTATCGGTTCTACATAGTCAGCTGATTGCATTAAGGTGCTAGTGAGATTTAGTTCAAGCACTTCTGCATGAGTCCCTTTCCATTTAGGGATCCCTCAAATAAGCTTATTTGAGTGACCCCTTGTGGGGCACAATCCCCAGCGTATTTGAATAATCCAATAACCTGTTTTGGAGTCTTCAATCATAGATCTTCCTTGGAAAAAAGTTAAGACAAATTGTAAACCATTAAGACATCTAGTTGTGATCAAATGGTTATTTGTCTTCTGATTTGGGTAAATTTTTTGCATAGTTTGGTCTTTGAGGGAAGACTTAAAAAATTGATGGTCGCATCATTAATCTACAATACATAGGGGGCCCTAAAAGATATCCTTCAAATAAACTTATTTGAGGGATCCCTCATCGAAGCTTCATCTCTCTCTCAGTCTCTCTATCAATATATACAAATGTGTGTATATATTCTAAATTGTGATTCCAACAGAAGATCTGCTGGTTGGAAGTGCTTCATAAAGAAGCACTACCAGGCAGAACCTTAGTTTTGTTCTGTGTTTCTTCTACCTGGCTTGCGTTCCTCTAGCATTATTCCAAAGTTGTTTGATTACCTTTTTTCAATTATGCTTACGATCTACTCAATCTGTCTGTCAGATGTTCTATGAAGTTGCAAAGTCTTGTGTTGATGCAGCCTTGGGAGGATGTGAAGTTGGAGGGAATCGAGTATTTCAAGATGATATACAATTGTTTGACACACCAAATATATCCAGGGTCTTGTCATCGTGCCTTGATGACTTGACTAACAAGGGGCTTTACCTTTTTGCTTTGAAACTAACAGGAGGCTCAGCCAAGTTTGAGAAAACTCGTTGGAAGATGAAAAAGGTTATCAGAGAATCTTTGCCTAAAGTTTTTGGAAGCCAAGATAAAGTGGAAATTTCTCAATATCTTTCTCAACTTCTCAATGACCCACAATATTTCCGAGATAATTTTATCACAGTTCTATCCTCCAGATCACAATCTAATCGTGCTGCCGCTAGAAAGCTGTTGGATAGACTCCCGGACATGCCTCTTGAGACCCTAATTGCAATGAACAAAAAGCTTAGAGGGCGACAAAGTCTGCCTCAACTACGGTCTAAAAAAAGTGGATGGAATCGAGATAGACTAATTAATCAAGTGAGGGAAACAAGTGAGGAGATGCTCACAGAACTTGGCATAGGTAATGAACTGCAGCAGCCATTAGCCAGAGCCTTGGCAGTAGTAGGCTTATCAATGAAGCTAATACCAGGTTTTCATAATTCCACCGCAACAGAGTTTCACCAATTCTCGCCAGAAATAAAGATATTGCAGGATGAGATAGCTAGAGCTATTTGGTTAGTGAAGACAAAGATTACAATACCAGAGCTGAAAAACTTGAAGATTCTGCTGGACCCGAATGCTAAAGTATCCAACAGGAGTTTGCGGAGAGCAATTAGGAAAATGCTAACTGAATTTCTTTTCGAGTGTGGTGATATGGATACCATTCCCAAGTCTTTATTAGAAGCACTTGTTTTTATCAATAGGAATTCCCAAAGTAAATCGGATAGACGCATCCTAAAGGATGAAATTGAAGAAGAGGTAGAATGCATATTGAATGTGAGTGCTCAGATAAAGCAGGTTATTTGGGATACGTTTCCTGATCATGACTTGGATGTAGATTTCTCTGATGCGTATATGGAAGAAATGGAAGAAAGTGATGATAATGATGATGATGACGACGGCGACGATAATATCGACAACAAGGGTTGGCTTGAGGAAGATAGAATATCTGGAAGTGAGAGATCTCATTCTAATGATTCGTATGGTGAAGTTGAAAGTACTGGGGAGTCAATGCCATCTTTTTGCAAGCCACCTACTGCTAATACTACCCCTAATTGCAGTTATCCCCTCCTTACATCTCACAACAATGAGCGACTTGAACATATGCTCTCCACCCAAGCTGATTCTGTAGACTGCGGTGGTATCAGAACAGGGTTTGATGGAAATTTCAATGAGAGACATGAACCTGAATGTAATACTGGAATGGATACAGAAAACTCGCTGCATCTTGACCCAGAAGGGGCGCTTAATAAGCAAACTACTTGTAAGAATGAATACCTTGCCGTCCAAGAGGTATGTGATGAGACAAGCATGATTGCATATAATCTCATTGGTCATATGTTGGATGATTTTGCACAGAGAGAAGGATTGGGTTTAGACTGGGATGATTGTTTATATCTCAGAGGCAATTGTGCAGCTCAAGAAGATTATCAAGGTATCCAACTATTATTATTCTTTTTTCCTTCTCTCATGTCACATGGAGAGTGAACTAAAGAAAATTAAATCCTAATGAGAAAAATGAAACCCATCATTAGGATTTAATTTTTTTCATAACTACTTAAGACTTGATTGTATCAAAAAAAAAAAAAAGGATTCCTAATAAAATGGTACATGATTTACGTTTTTGTTACCCTTATTCCCCCTCTTTGTGGTAGAAAGTGAAAACATAAAGACTTCATTTTTGTGCTCATGACAGAGGTAGAAGAAAAACGGACATTTGCTCAGGAAAACGATGATGGTACAATAATTGTTCGAGTAATTGAGGATCTAATACCCTCTTTTCCAAAAAGGTATCAGTGCTTCGCTTTTCTGGATGATTGTAACTTTGCTTTACATTGAGATTTCTGCTTAGATCCGTGTAGCATTTGAAATTATTTTCTTAAAGAGATCCTGAATCTGTCAGACAGAAGACGATGTGTAGTGCCTTAAACAAAAACTTGTTTAAAACGCTTGATGTCTGTATTGATATTGCACAACTTCTGTATATGCAGTGGAATAGAAGCATTAAAGAAGTTGATGGGCCTACTATAGCATCTTGTGAGGCTTTGGTTGTCCATTTTCAGAGATTCCAGAAGAATATGCTGAATTCTTTCACATTCATCCTCAAGCTTGTACTGCGGCTTTGTTTTTCTTCCCGCCAGGAGCCACTGTGCGAGTTGAAGGAGCTTGGTTATACAATGAGGTCAGGAACTTAATATGGACTTGCACATACTTACTCGTCATTGCCGCTTGTTAATCATTGAAGAAGACCAGCCACCAATCAAATCTTGGAAATTTGAGCTTTTAACTAAATGACTGGAGCTACATAGGTGCTTGCATGGCAGAGATCTGCAATTATTTATGAAACGGTTTGTCCCGTGACCCCTGTCCACAATATCATAAGTTCTGTATCTGCATGAGGAAACCATAGAAATGTATAGCTGTATGTATAGAAATTACACAAGAATTATTGATACCTGAGAACAAGAAATCATGTTAGTTGGTGACAATTTTAATTTCTGGTTCCAGCCGATTGAGTAATCTTACTCGTCGAGTTTAAGTCTTGTACCTCGGAACTCATACAAGGAAGTTTTTTGGTTGGACCTTGCAAGTGCGACTATGTGCTCTGTAGTTGTTTATGCAACTGTTCATGTTTTCCCCTGCAAATAATATGCAATACCAGTTTTAGTACTGTAAACAGTTTACCGTGCTGTAGTTATTTTTGTTTATGCAAAGATTCACAAACGTAAACGGGAAATTAAGAAATTGGAGAGCTTAGAAATATGGGAAGGAAAGAAAATCGGATCAACTAGCCCTACTAGTTGATTTAATTTCCAATTCCTAGTTATTTGATTATGGATTTCAAGGAAAACTTGGTACTTTTTTTTATGAGAATTTTAACGAAAAGCTCATCGAACTGTTCACTTTAACGAAAAACCACATTTTTACACTAAAAAGTCAATCATGGTACTATTCACTTTACCCTTTATTTTATCTTTATCGTTAAAATTCAAAATTTTCAAATTTTTTTCATTAATTTTTTTATTTTTTATTCCATGTGTGAGAATAAGAACACGAGAAAATTAAAAAATGAAATGATTCTCATGCAGGTCCGGTCAAGAATCAAATTATTCTAATTTCTATTCCTTTAAACGACGGAAACTCGAGAATCAAATAATTCTAATTTCTATTCCTTACAAGTAAACATGCCCTTAGTTGAATAATAATTTTCCAGATGAAACTAATGTTAAGAATGTAATCACAACTTATAATTAAACATAAACATTTCAAATTCAAAACGTCCACAATGCTTATATCTTATTTTGTCACACTTTTTTTTCACTGCCTCATCTAATGACCCACAAACAATTTGGTACCAGTAGCAAAGATACAGGACTCCACATCTACATTCGATTCTATTGGCACTCTTGTTCACTAAAGTGGGGGTTGAAGATATTCCTTTCTTCCTCCTTGTTTTCCTGGTTGCAAGCACGATTCACCGGGCGGGCAAATATCACTTCTCTTCATTTACCAGCATCATTTTCCCAAACATTGTCCCAACCACCACTAGGAGCAGGTCTCGGACCCTCAATGAAGTTCTGGTTTCCTCCGTAGGGTCCATGGGGTCCGTTGGGTCCATGCGGTCCATTAAACCCGTTCGGACCTGGAGGATGAACCTTGGATTTTGTTTTAACACCCAGTATCCTCAATACAAATCTAGCTAGCTCTCCGTACAATAATCCAGAACGATCAAAAAGCTGCATCAAAGTAATGTCAAACAGTTACATAATGCACAAACAAGCTCTAAGTCTTAAAATGGTCCCAAATCTGTCATTAGTCTGCCCTTCAACCCAAACGATATGAGGAATATGGCAACTTATAAACCGGAAATCCTACAGTTGACTTTTAATATCATGTACTAAAGGAATATGGCAAGGTATTGTAAACAACACATTAGAGTTCAGGTCATAAAATATGTGGATGTGCCGTGTGCAATTGAACAAGATGCAATTCTCTAAATATATGTGTACAACAGTTGATTCCACACTGAGGGCAGATAAAGAGATGTAATGACAGATGAAAAACCTGAAGAAGTGCAGACATGAACAAATGGAATGCCTGGGTGTTCTGGTCTATGAGAATTGCAATTCGACCAAAAAAGTTAACCACACCTTGCGTCTGCAATAATAATAAAATTTTGAATAAGTAATCACGCAGAAGTCATCAGAATTCTGAAATAACTACATCCCCTTCTTGTTCTATCAATTCGCATCCCAAAAGAGAATTGTAGATGACATGTGAGGTGGCTCCACAAAACAAGATAAATGAGAAATACATAGACTTCTCATTTTGCTGCATCTTTAGCCATTTAGAAAGCTTCATAGTTAATTAAGCCTACCTAATTTGTAAATGCACTCATGTTTATGCATTTTTCATCTGACCAATAGGAAACTATAAACAAGTAAAAACAGCAAATGCTTACCACCCGAAGTACTGAAATCCAAAACCCAGGATGAGATGGAGGAGGACCATATGGATCATTTGGATCTTGACCTCCATAAGGACCACCCATGCCCATTCCATAACCACCCATTGGGGCTCCTAAACTACTATTGTACATCCCACCTCCATACATTCCAGAAGAACCATAAAGCCCACCACCACCACCATACCCTCCCCTATACATGCTGTTGTTGCCATACATCCCCCCACCGTATAATCCTCCACTTCCACCATATGAACCATACATTCCAGACGTTCCAGATATTCCAGAACCGTAACCTGAGTTATAGTTCATAGTGGAACCATATCCTGGAATGGGTAAAACAGAAATTAATGTTAGAAAGCCAACAGAGTAATTTGGAAAGCCAAAATAAGGGGATGGAGAAGATCATGTTTCACTAACCTCCATAGTTGGTGCTGCTTCCATAGTTCTGCTCCCAAGGCCTTGAGGGAACCGGCCTAGCCAGAGCATTTCTATTAGCAGCGGTATTTCTATCAGAACTTGGAACAATTTCTCCAGGTTTAGCAGTTCCCGACGCCTCAACTACATCACTTGTGCTTCCAGCTGATGGGGGTTTAAAAGGTGCAGGACCAGATGAGGAACCTGCTCTCTCCCACGGTTTTGGGGGAGGACCATTAGCTGCAAAAATGAACACAATGTAACTCAATTTCCAAAGCAAAAAACAATACCATGACCACCACATGAACTTAACCACAATCTGCCAAGTTAGTAAAAGTTGAAGTTACACAAACAAATGTCTGATAAAAGCCAAACAATTTCATAGCAAAAATAAAAGAAATCATCCTAGTTTTCATCAGAATCTTGCTATCCCATAAATTTAAATCACAACTCATTGCCGATGAATATGGTATGTGCCATGAACGAATATATTGAAATTTTAGAACAAAATTGGCACAAAGAAGTGAGCGCCACAACGGAATAAGCGTTACATTTAACTGTGTGGTTATACGCAGCAAGGGGACAATGAGTCAAGGGGTTACCACCTAACATGAAAGACAGTCCACGAGTTTTGGATACTTGGTGAACACAACTTTTAACGATAGCTTTAGCGAGAAAGATAGTTATGCACAAGCAAAGCTACATAATTTTATGCTTGGATACAATCTAGTACTCTGCTTAACATATCAACCATGATATCAATCATTTAAATAGCTAAACCATCATTGATAACACCAAAATTCCAGTAATCAATCATCAATTTGTCAATACAATCGCTACGTCGGAAAATTAATTCACTACCACAATTAAAACCCTTAACACTAACCCAACGAGCAAAGCAGGGGAGTAATTTTCAGTCAATTACACAGAGCGATAAAATATGAACAACAGATTATCCCAAACTAGAACCCCTTCCATTTTCCTCACAATTTTTCTCGGGAAACAAACACACCCTAACCTCAAAAACAATTTCCAAACCCAGAAATTACAAATCCCTAATCAACAATCAAAAACCCCAAAACACCAATATTCCAAACAACCAATCAAAACTCCCAAAACCCTCCATACCAAACAACAATCAATCATACAAAAAAGCAAAAAAAAATCCAATTTTTGCTCAACCCAGAAATTAAACCGTGGAATTCAATAAGAAAAACAAGAAATTAAACCGATTAGCTGCAAAATTCATGAAAAATTAGGGATTGGAACCTGAGGGCTGGGGATTCGAGTCCATCCGGGAATGCAGAAACACGTCAACCGATAGAGGAGGTCGTTCCACTTTTCAAGACACTCTATCCTTCTCTCATGTTTTTATTTTTTTTTTCTTTTATTTTGTATATTTATCTTTTTTATATTTATTTATTTATTTTGGCCAGCGCGATTTGTCGGCTTCTGAATTCCGTTGGTTACTGTGAAGAAGGATCATATTGCAGTGTGGACCGTCCTTGCTGTTGGGCCCCACGTCTATGGCGGGCTTGACTCGGTCATTGTTATTGTTTGGTGGACTCTCTGATTTTTACTAGGGAATTTCCTAAAGTTACGAATTTAAATTATTTCAAATTAAAATGAATTAAGTCAGTTGATTAAAATTACGTAGCTTTTATATTTCCATCTTACATATGAATTTGATTTTTTTTTTTTTACAATTTTTTTTAAGTTCTTACCTGAATGTGTTGCCATGACTCGAATCTTACTCCGATGCTAAATTGATGCAGGAAACCTCAATTAAGAGAAGATCCCTGTCTAATTTGAGTCTTGTTGAATTTATGAGTTGACGAAAGAAGACATACCAAAAATTAGATTATTTTAAGAAGTAATTTATAAAGACTTAAACGTAATAAAATAGGAATAGGCTTTTTTTAAGAAGGGAATTAAACCTAATTCTTTTAAAACAAAGAAACTAAAAGACTACAGGACATGTCACTTAGTAGTATAATATAGTGTTTTTTATCTTCACTTGTAAGTGAGATGTCTTATATTTGATTTTCACCAAATGCAAATTTGAATCACATTATTATGATTTGTCCATTGTGAGATTTAGCACACTCCCATGTAGATAATATTGTTTGTTCAAAAAACAAAAAAAGACTAACGTGCATATCCTGTTTTAAAAACTAAAAACGCAAGTGAATCCGAAAAAAACACTTTAAATTAGAGGTGGATTTTTTTGCCAAATTGCCGTGCCAATCGAATTACCAACCGTGTCATACCGATTTTATGCCAATCGATAATGGTACAATATTATACCATACCGATAATATAATATAATATATAATTTATAAATTGTATAATATATAATTATGTAACACATATTTATAATATATGTATATATAATATTCCAAAATTTTGAAAATAAAACTCTACTTATATTAGCATTGTTATTGGTGACTTTGATCTCTTGAGTTGATGGAAATCAAACACAAAAAGTTCCTAATTCTTTCACAAATAGCCAAGGATATCTTTAGAATCACCACTTCTACCGTTGCTAGTGAAAATGCATTTAGCCTAGGGAGGAGGGTTGTCGACCCTTTTTTTAGGGCATTCTTAACTCCTAAAATGGTAGAGATATTAGTGTGTACTAGTGATTGACTTAGGGCGGATGAAATAAACTTCTACAACAAACCAACAGAATATATGCTTCAATTTTACAAGGAAATGAAAAAAAGTAGAAACAAGTAAGATATGCTTTAATTTTTTATAGTAAATTTGTTATTAAATGGTTTTTAAACTTAATTCATCTTATTTTTTCTTTGTTTGTAATATAGGCTTGACACAAGCTCAATCTTCTATAAGTTTAATGTCTCCTTTAAAAGCGTCGACATCTCAAGTTTGAAGAATTGATTAATGAATTTCACTTTTTGAAGTTCAATTCCAATTTTTATTTGGTTTGAAACTTTAACTTCTATTTGGATTGTTAACTTCTATTTGTTTTTGTTCATAACTTCTGTTTGGATTGTAAGCTTAATTTTCATCATGAATCTTGATGTATCATTTAAATCATTGTGTGTGTGAATTGTGAATGATGAATAATAAATGAATTTAAGCTACAATGTATGAGATAAAGTTACAAAAAAAAAGGGATAATTTGAAAGAGGTTCAATTTTATAACTTATCTTTTGAAATAGATCCAATTTTTAATGACTTTTGACTTTTGAAATAGGTTCAATTTTTAGTCCAATTGGACCCATATCAAAAGACCAAAAAAAAAAAGTTTCACCCTTGAATTGAATTAAAAAACAAAAATAGATATTGTTCTAAAACAAAGTGGCAACTACCATTATCATACTATGCCAACCGAACTTCGGTATACTGAAAGTTTGGTATGGTAATAGTAATAGATTTTGTCAAACCGAAAGTTTGGTACGATAACCGTACCGAACCCACCATACTTTAAATACTTTTAGAATCCATTTTTTTTTTTCCAAAAAACATTTTTAGTTATTTTAAAAGTTCCTCTAAACAAACCATACATTTCCAATATAAACTACATATTAATTAAACCATCTTTGTCAACCAAAAGATGGTGAAAATACATTTTTGTCTTCTATCACAACAAAAAAAGTTAAGAATAGTAACATAATTTCACAGAACAAAATTTTGCTGTTTTTTTTCAAACCTCACCTACATGTGATTTTCTCTCTATTAAAAAAAAAAAACACCTCTCACTCTCTCCTCCCACATTCCTTCTCTCTTCCTCTCTCCTTCAATTTTAAAAACAAATAAAAAAATATTCACACTTTGTGTGTGAAAATATACTAGCACTCTATTAAAAAACCTTTGTTATTTGTCTTATGGCGTTATTGACTCGGAATTTGAATAAAATAAGCGTGTCCCACGTGGAAAATGTGTATCATTCCCTATTAACAAGATATTATTACTTGGAGGAATACTGTTTATCTCAGAGAGAGGGAGGGAGGGAGGGAGGGAGGGAGGGAGAGAGTGGGTAGCAAATGCACCAGCAAAAAAGCGTGTTGAAATCATCTCCCAACTAAAACATCAACGATCAATAACAATTTGAAGTTACCTCACTTTCAAGTTTTCGTTTTCACATATTTCCTTTCTCCCTCCTTCCTCCTACCACCCCTCTTCATTCTTCTCCATTCTCCAATTTTCCCATGTACTTTCACTGTATCCCTGTCACAAAAGAGGACAAAAACTAAAAACGAAATAGTAATCGAATAAGCCCCATCACAACCGGCATCACACCGTTTCTGTCCAGACATCAACAGAAAAGCTCACAGAGTATGATGTTTTGGTGAGACTCCGAAACCATTTGCCATTATCCTATATCGAAATAACAATCACATGCCATATATAGGCTTTAGTGAGAATCTAAAGTCAATACAACGATCCACATACTATCCACCGTGCAAGGTTGAAATGAAGACAACGACATCCTTCTCCTCTAGCGTCGTATCAAGTTGCCCACTCAGCTCCCAGTCACAATCGTTCACAAGGGCTAGAACACCGGGTCTCCTGCAAGACAACCGAAGCTTCATGTTATCACAAGAGTATTATAGCCCTGTGTCAAGTTATTTGTTTTTCCTATCAAAACCACTAACCGCATATTCATTACAAAATTATCAAAGCGACTGAGGAACACGTTCACTTTAAATTCAAGTCTGAAACAGATTTTAGCTTACACAGTATCCCCTTTCATAAACATTTCAGGCCTCTCCTTGATCAAATTAGTACGGATCCAAGAGAGCAAATCCTTCATGGTTAGCTGAGAAAAAAAAAAAACGAAAATCGTGTTGACTAATAGAAACAAATAAAACCGCCAAAATGACAAATCCGCTTAAGATTTTTACTTGTTCTTCTTAGCCTTAACAAAAGCTGAAGTTCACCTTTTCTGCTCCGTTTTGCAATTCGACATTGACATTATGAATCTTTACAGAGTTGCATAGAAGCTCTAATCCTCCACTGCAGAAAGAAAATACGATTCCACGCCACATAAGGAAAGCAAACATAATTTCAATCAGGTTCAAAAGGCACAAGGTAGAAAAAAGATAAGTGTGCACACAGTTGAAACCAATTGCCATAAAAACACAAAAGACAATGTCCAAAAATCAAACTCTGAAAACCTTATAAAAGCATAAAAGTTAATAAATTTTTTATGTAAAAGTTCTCCCATGATAAGACTTTTCCCACGATAAAAAGGGAGACTACCAAGCGCAATACAGAAACAAGTCCGGTCAACTTTAAGAATGTTTAATAGATAGCCATAAAACAAGTTCGGTCCTCTTTGTATTTTTGTGATGTGTCATGATATTAGAGTCTTTCATTTATGTAATCACATATTCCAATTCCCACAACAATTAAGGTCTACCAAAACTGGAAAAAGATTTCAAATCCCTTGGAACACAAAAGAGTTGCAAACTTCTACAACATAGTGTAAAAAGACCCAAAATGATATTGTGAATCTTGCTTTGGGTGTCATGTTTTATTAATGGAAGTTTTGAATTCCATCATAGTTATGTTTACTATATGTCCAAATCATCAAAAGTGGTCAATACCTAACCCTAAAAAGGAAAAGTACAATATAATTTTCATAGAAGATTGATCACCAAAGTGACATGCAAAGGAATCATAGAGAGAAAGTGTTAGAGTTCAAAAACGTACAAATCCATCCTAAGATAAATTCATCCCCAGACAAGATCCAATTCATTAGGAATACCAAATAAATTCTTTTCAGCGTTGTTCTTTAGAGCAGAACAAGAAAAATGGTGGAGCTAGGTTTCCCCATTCAACTGTAAATGCCAAAGCACCATGAGTTTTACAATATCAAAGTAGCCAACCTAGCTATGAATCAAAACCATTGACATCATAAACTCCTTCATATTCTAGTATTCTACACGAAAACTATACAGGAACCACCGCTGAAAATCTGAAGAACAAAACATATATATAACAATGTACAATAAAAATCAAATTTTAATAAATTTTTCAAAGCTAATTAGGATAACACTAGTATTAGCTAAAACAATCTTTGAAGCAAGAACCAAGACCAATAAACAGCTCAAGAACAATAAACCATTAATAAATTTTGGAAAATAGTACATAGGGAAGAGAAATTTATTACCCGAATTCAAGGGTCAGCTGCATATTGTAAAAGATGCAGAGTTTACAAACCTGGAGAACGAGAGAGTGAGAAGGAGGAATGAGAGCTCAATTTAACTGAAATATCATTCCCATGTAGGGTTAGCTTCATAAAAATCTTGTTATTCTCACAAATTTAAATCAAAATCAAGTGTTCATACACAATGTAAAAGTGCAGCTCATGATCAAAATTCCAAAGGAACTGAAGCATGTTCACAATATAACTTTAATACAATTGATTGCCAATGAATAGGGTATGTTCAATTAAAAAATATACTGAAACCACATTTGGAACATAGGAGTGAGCGCCACAATGGAATAAGCATTACATTTATAACACCCCTCAACTGTGTGGTTATATGCAGCAAGGGGATTGGTTACTACCTAGCATGAAAGACAGTCCATGAGTTCTTAATACTCCTGAACAAAACTTCTAATGATATCAGCGAGAAAGATAGCTATGCGCATACAAAACTAAATAATTTTATGCTGAGATTAAATCTAGTACTCCGTTATTAAAGGCCATCCACGCTGTCAATCATTCCAATAGCTAAATCATCACTTAACGCCAAAATTCCAGTAATCCATCATCATTTTGTTCATACAATAGCTGAGTTGGAAAATGACCTCACTACCGCAATTAAAACCCTTAGCACTAAGTCACTAACCCAACGAGCACAGCAGAAGAGTAATTGTTTCAAAAATTATAGATTTGTAATTTCATTTCTTCAAAAACATAATTCAATTTTCATTCTTTTTTTATAATTTCTAATTTCTATGAACTTTAAAAGGGAAAGAAAAAAAAAAGAAAAAAGGGCTCAGTGCCGCAGTTTACAGACACCATCCTTCGTGCTTTCTTCTATGTTTATATTACAGCTCGTGCTCCCTCCCAATTTCCAAATTAGTGATCAGTTGTTAACCCACCCAATTTCAAATAAATTAAATAGCCACACCAAACAAACAATTTAACCCTAAACCATAAACCCTAAACCCCAAATTGGGAAAATAGGGATCGTTACATGCAACCAAACATAAAGTGAGAAAATTGAATTGTTTACCTTTTTCGGAAGGAAGGGCTGAGGCTGAGAGAGAGTTGGCGAGAAGAGAGTCAGAAGAACGAGTTCACGACGGAATTGAAGAACGCGGGGAGCGAGAGGCGACAGCGTTTTTATTTCATATACAAATCTCCAGAAACAGTAATAGCAGGAAGAGGAAATTGCCAGAAAAGACCGCTTTTGAAATTGCCGAATTTCTACAACGAAATGGTATTTCTCTGGATATTTCAAATAAATAGACTAGGGCTTGATAAACAGATACAGACCTTAATTTGAAACCTGGTCTTCTTCCGAGCGCTCGATTTCTTGAATTCCAGATGCTGCAGCAAGCCCTAAATCCTCCACACTCTTTTCCTCAAAACCGGAGAGCAGCTTCGAAAATTCTCATTTCGGACACCATAAAAAGCAACGGGAGATGGAGTTTGGATGTGGAGGCGGCGAATCAGAAGAACCGGGCAGAGGAAGCCTTTCGAGTTTCGATAGAGGGGACACAATTTTTCCTGTATTTTGCATTGCATTTGTTTTTATAAGAAAAAAGTATTTCAATTGTACAAAACAATAAGTCACTCGACGAAAATCATTTTACGTAAACGTGGCATAACCTTGAATAGTATATAACTTAGTATATAACTTAGTATATCAGTATCGGTTTCGACTATAGAATATATCGTAGCAGGGTTGTCTATGATATTTTGGGGTCTTTTGCAAATTAAAAAAAAAAAAAAATTCTTCGTATTTTAAAACATATTTATTGTTTGGATAATATATTCATACAAAGCTCAACGATTAATATTTGAACATAACAAAATTAGTATCTCACTTTTACAAATTGAATAATGTCTAATTGCCATGAATTATGATTTAGGGTTCATTCATAAAAAGATAGAGCACGATATGCATGTATTTGTGAAAAAAAGTAATACATAAGTTAATTGTTTATTACTAAAAAAGAGTGAAGAAAGTCTAGAATGTTATCAGTCTACTCAAGTCTCCATGGAGTCCTAAAGTGGATGTGGAAGTTGTGGCGATAAGTGGAGAGACAAATACACGCTTGGCTTTCTTGTTGTTGCCATAATGTACGCATGACTTTATGGCAAGTAATACACAAGTTTATTCTATTGCTAGATAAAAGTGGAAAGTTAATATGGTAAGTATAAGCTCAACTTAATCAATTGTGATAAGATTTTTTTTTTTATCACAAATGGTCATTGAAATTGACCATAATCATCAAGATGGTCCCTGAAATTAAAAATCAATCGGTGTAGCCTCTGAAAATATGTGTCGCAAATCAATGTGGTCCTTTCGTCATAATTTTGTTAAAAATTTCGTTAAGTACTAATGTGGCACATAAATGGGCCCCACAAGATTTACATGTTTTTATCACAAATGGTTCATGAAATTGACTCATACCATCAAGATGATCCCCGAAATTGACTCACATCATCAATATGATCCCTAAAATTAAAAATCAATCAATATAGTACTTGAAAATAGGTGTTGCAAATCAATATAATCATTCTGTCACAATTATGTAAAAAAAATTATTATGTGCGGATGTGGGTTTAATAATTAAAAAATTTGTCTAAATACCTTTTTGCACAATGGAAATTTTTTTTTCTTATAGTAGGGCCTACTTCGAAGAGAGATCCCTTCCATAAATTCTCAAATGTACGAGGCTTAACCAAGGCCTAAGAGGGGGTGTGAAAATAGTTTTCAACCAACAATAGACGCACCTCGGTTATAACCTCATTTTCTCAGGACAAGCCTCGTCATTATTTGCATCACTAGACCACCACGGAAGTGTCGAACAAGCTCTCCAAGATTAAGGTTGTGCAAATGTTGATCGCCCAAATGTTAACTGTTATGTCCCAGAAGTCGTTGCCAATGGGCCAAGCTGTCACCAAAGGTGATATCGATCCAGGTTCAATTCGGTGAAGGATGTCGAAGTGTGTAAAGATGAGTGTATTGAGATTTTTTTTTGAGAGAATAGAGAACGAAGAAGGTAGAGAAATGTGGTTTGGGATCGGAGGTGATTGCAGGACTGGATTTTTTGGTTGACATTATTAATATTATTGGTAATTTTTTTATTTAATTAGACTTGTGTGGCCCATTTATGTGTCACATCAGCACATAACATAATTTTTGACAGAATTGTGATGGAATGACTACATTCATTTGAGACACTTACTTGCAGGACTACATTGATCAATTTTGAATTTCAAGGACCATTTTGATGTCGTATGTCAATTTCAATGACCATTTGTGAGAAGAAAAAAATGACTTATGGGGCCCATTTATGTGTCACATAAGCACTTAACATAATTTTTAATAGAATTGTGACAGAATGACCACATTGATTTGCGACACCTATTTTCAAGGACTATATTGATTGATTTTCAATTTCAGGAACCATCTTGATGGTAAGGGTCAATTTCAAAAACTATTTGTGATAAAAACCCAAATTAAATTGATGGTGATTTTTTTTTTTCAGTTTTAAATTTTTTATTAGAAAATTTATATGCATATGTAATATATAGAAAGATAAAAGGGCCCCTCAGAAATTTGGGAGTCCTATGCTAGATAGGTAGAAATGTCAATATGAATATTTGTGGAAATATCGATATCAATATCAGTTGCTTTCGATAAAAATTTAAAATAAAATTTTAGGTTGTTTCACTCAGGTTCAAAAGGCACAAGGTGGAAAAAGGATAAGAGTGCACACACACACACAGTTGAAACGGATTGACATAAAAACACAAAAGATATTGTCAAAAACTCAAACTCAAACTCTGAATACCTTATAAAAGGCATAAAAGTTAATAAAAAAAAATTGTTGTAAAAGTTCTCCCATGATAAGAGTTTGCCCACGATAGAAAAGGGAAACTATCAAGTGCAATACAGAAACAAGTCTGGTCAACTTTAAGAATCTACCAAGCGTAATACTGAAACAAGTCCGGTCAACTTTAAGAATGGCTCGTAGATAGCCATAAAGCTAATGGTGCTATACTATCATGCTATCCTCTTTTTATTTTTGTGATGTGTCATGATATTAGAATATTTCATTTATGTAATGACATATGTCAATTCCCACTACAATTAAGATCTGAGAAAACCGGAAAAAAAGAATTCAAATCTCCTGGAACACAAAAGAGTTGCAAACTTCTACAACAGAGTTTAAAGAGACCCAAAATGATATCGTGAATCTTGCTCTGGATGTCATGTTTTATTAATGGAAGCTTTGAATTTCATCATAATCATGTTTACTATATGTCCAAAGCAACAAAAGACAATACCTAACCCTAAAAAGGAAACGCACGAAATAATTTTCAAAGAAGATTGACCACCAAAGTGACATGCAAAGATATTGTTAGAAAGAAAGTGTTAAAAGTAAAAAAAAGTACAATATTCATCATGAGATAAATGCATCACCAGAAAATATCCAATTCAATGGAATACCAACATAAATCTTTTCACCATTGTTCTTTAGAACAGAAAAAGGAAAATGGTGGAGCTAGGTTTTTATTTTCCCCATTCAAGTGTAAATGCAAAAGCACCTTTACAATATCAAAGTAGCCAACCTAGCAATTCAAAATCATTGACATCATAAGCTCCTGCACATTCTAGTATTCGACATGAAAACAATACAGGAACCATCGCTGAAAATCTGAAGAACACAACATATATATAACAATGTACAATAAAAATCAAATTTTAATAAATTTTTCAAAGCTAATTAGGATAATGCTCATATTAGGTAAAACAATCTTTGAAGCAAGAACCACGACCGATCAACAGCTCAAGAACAATGAACCATTAATAAATTTTGCAAAATAGTACACAAGGAAAATAAATTTATTACCTGAATTCAAGGGTCATCTGCATATTGTAAAAGCTGCAGAGTTTACAGACCTATAGAACAAGAAAGTGAGAAGAAGGAATGAGAGCTCAATTTAACTGAAATATCATTCCCATGTAGGGTCAGCTTCATAAAAATCTTGTTATTCTCAGAAATTTAAATCAAAATCAATTGTTCATATACAATGTAAGAGTGCAGCTCATGAGCAAAATTCCAAAGGAACTATAGCATGTTCACGCTATAACTTAATACAATGAAATGCCGATGAATATGACATGCTCAATAAACAAATATAATGAGACCACATTTGGAACAAATGAGTGAGTGCCACAATGGAATAAGCATTACATTTATAACACCCCCTCAATTGTATATGCAATAAGGGGATTGGACCTGAGTCAATGGGTTACTACCTAGCATGAAAGACAGTCCACAAGTTCTGAATACTCGGTGAACAAAACTTTTAATGATATTAGCAAGTAAGATAGTTATGCATTCAAACATAGCTAATAACTTTATGCTTGGATAAAATCTAGTTCTCCGTTACTAAAGGTCATTCATGCTGTCAATCATTCAAATAGCTAAATCATCATTCATAACACCAAAATTCCAGTAATTCATCATCATTTTGTTCATACACTAGCTGGGAAAATGACCTCACTATCACAATTAAAACCCACAACACTAACCCAACGAGCAAGGAAGTTGTGCCTCTTTATGTAAGGCCATAAAAAAATAAACAAAAAATTATCCCAAACTAGAACCCCTTCAATTTTCCTCACAATTTTTCTCAGGAAACAAAAAAAATGGGCTTAATGCCGCAGTTTACAGACACCATCCTTTGTGATTTCTTATATGTTTATATAACAGCTTGTGCTCCCTCCCAATTTCCAAATTAATGATTAGTTGTTAACCCACCCTATGTCAAATAAATTAAATAGCCACGCCAAGCAAACAATTTAAACCCAAACTTTAAACCCTAAACTGGGGAAATGGGGATCCTTACACGCAACCAAACATAAAGTGAGAAAATTGAGTTGTTACCTTTTCAAGAAGGACTGAGGCGCAGAGAGTTAGCGAGGTGAGAGTTAGAAGAACAAGTTCGCGACGGAATTGAAGAATGCAGAGAGAGGTGACACCGTTTTCTTTCCTCTTACTTTCTTTGGCGCCTTTCCTTTGCAACATTGGGAAGCAGAAGGCTTAACCTATTTGGGCTAATCAATCAAAACGGCCCAAATAGTTCGGGCTTAGAATATGGAAAGAAAGAACGGAGGCCGAGAAACGGTTCCTTGCTCACCTGTTTTATCTTTTAATTAAGTGATTGTGTTTACACTTTGAATTTGATTTCTAATAAAATGATTAAATGGTTGAGCAAGGAACCTTTTCTCGTCCTAGGTTCTTTTTTCCACCTTGAAGGCAAGGCTTTGAATGAACAATTAAATGGTGAAGGTAAAGATCATGTGAGAAAGTGAAAGGAGTTGAAAATAAACAAAGATTAAAATTAATCTAGTTACAAGAAAATAAATTAAATTAAAGGTGACAATGTAAGAATAAGGTGCTTCATTGTAAAAGAAATTAAAAAGATGATGGCAAGAATGAAGGTGTATCAGAGCTTGAATTCAATCCCCAAAATTTCATTTCTCTCTAACAGCAAATCCCAG